AAAAAAAAAAAAAAAAAAAAAAAGAAGAAAAAAAGAAAGAAAGAAAAAGGGGGTCTAATTGATGATCTCCGCACTGTTTATCAGGCGGAAAGAATTGGTGATGTTATGTAAGGAGAAAAAAATTTGATTGATTCGCGCATTGATTATCAAATGGAAGGATTGACTATCCGATTGTAAAGGGGATGGTAACTTTTTCGAATTCTATCCGACTTCTATCGCAATCGGGGATATCCCTCCGGGAATCGAGACGTTTCTTTACTGGTGCTGGTTTTTCATCCAGCTCTACCACAGGTTCATCCGTTATCGGAGCTTTCCAACGTCTCTTGGTTCGAGAACAAACCAGTCTCCTCGATTCTGTCGGCCCGCATCGATCTTGATACCACATTCGAATCCGGAATTCCTTTCTTTTTCACACGTACACACCACGCTCACGTCGGCCCTTTATCCTTGCATTTTTCTAGTTTGGAACCATGAAAAACAATTCGATCGCTATTGTATGTACGATTGTTCGAAGAATATTGATATGTTAATGATTGTTTTAATTTATGCATCATAAATTAGAGGAATATTGGCAAGTTTTTGTAATATTGTCATATTAAAATATATTTTGCTTATTCTATTGTATTATTGTTTTTTTTTATGTTATTTTATTACGACTGATTTTGTACGACTGTGAAAATCATATTAAAATTTTAAAAATATATTAATTGCCAATGTTATCCGATTTTGTAAATTCATGTTTACAAATCGTTGAATACTTAACGATAAGATTGAGAATGTAAGTGAATATATTATAATTGTAATATCATATTGACATTAATATTGTAAGGATATATGTTTTAATAATTATAATATAAATCTACTTTAATCCATTTATAAGAATCAAATAGTTATGTAAATAATTAAATAAATATTATATATATATATTGTTATATATATTGTTATATATATGTATTATATATATTATAATACAATATTATTAAAAAAATAGAATAATTTATATATCTATTATTACATGAAAGGATAAAATGTGATTAAAATAATAGTCTATTTTATAAATTTAAATAAAATTTCAGAATTTTAAGAAAAATATAATTTACTATATTGATTTAAATATTTTCATTTTTTCAAATTATATAATATTATATGTTTTACAGTTAGATATATAGAAGGAGAAATCTTTACAAAAAAAAATATTGAACAAATATTAGAAGTTTATAATTACAATATTGAAAACAAATTAATATCAATAAATTAATAAGCACGTGTTTAAAATTAACATGTATGTTAATAAATTAAAATGTATGTAACAACTTATAATTTATATTTGTTTCTTGCTATATGTAATGCATACATTTTTTTTATTATTCATTAATATAATTAAAAATACAAAATAATATCTTAATAATTTATTAAAAACCTAATTAAAACTTTGTTAATTCATATCTTTTGTTTACAATATTTACAATAATTAAAAATTAATGTCCCTTAAAATATTTTTATGATATTTCTACGAAATATTTCATTTTCAGATAATTTCAAACGAACCCGAATAGATGAAACTGCAACCCCCTGAAATCTGTCGCTCGTTTATCATCCATGTGATCATTCGTGGTGGAACGAAGCTGTTTTCAAAGCGAAGCATGATATTGCGATAAAAAATTGTGCAGAAAAACGATAATGGATGATAATTTTTTTTCTCTCTCTCTTTTCTAATCTATACTCTCGAGATTGTTTATCGATCTTTTCGAAATTATACTGCATAAAAGAGAAGGCAGACGAGGAGGAAGACATTTTTTTTTCCAACTATCTTTTCTTTTTCTAAGATCTCGTGGCTTTTTCCTTTCGTTGGCCCTTGCTATCTCGCGTGAAAAGGGAAAGCTGCTGCGAGTAAACGAAACCCTTTTATTCCAGATATCTTTAATCGTGCCGACATAAAGAATGTCTACGACACTGAAAGTCGTAGAGAGGTCACCGCCTAGGTCATTCAGCAAGCTAGACAATACCTTCTTTTATCAAGACCAAACAGATATCTGCTTTGCACGTGCATTTATTCGCGAATTCCTTTCCTTTTTCTTATTACATTGTTGTTTAAAAGTTTGAATGCGAAAAATTTAGAATAAAAAAATAGAATAAAATCAAATCGTATTATAAATAAATTATTCATTACGAAGCTTGCCGAATAAAAGAAATAGATTCAAAATAACTATCTTTATTTTTAATTATCTCTAAACAAATCTTGTATTTTTTATCTATTAATTGTCGATATCAATAAATATTTATTACAAAAAATTGTTTATCTCTTTTCATCTCGAAAATATGAGTATTTCTTAACTTTTGAACAATAGTCTATATATTTCTCGTATATGCTTGTAGTTTATCTTCTTAACAATCTTCCAAGCGAGATGAAACTTTAAACACCGGAAATTGGAGGAAAGTTCAAAATATAGAAACTGATATAAATTTTCAAGAGACGAGTCATTGTCATCGAAAAGCGATTATTAATAAAATAATTTGTTTTATTTTTTGAAATAATAAAATCGAAATTTATTTTTGTTTAACAAAAATAAACATTTTTTAATAAATATCTTTTAATGCAGATAATTGAAATTAATAAGATAAGAAAATAATAAGATAAGAAAATCAAAGAAAATCATTTTCATCTATATTCAAAAGATTCACTAACAATAATTACCATCAATGTGGATTATGGATTGCAGACATGAGAACGAATTACTAGGTCGTCATACCTGTATATCTTCGTTACCGTATAAATTTAGAACAGATCGTGATCGTGATATACCAGATGTCAAAAGAGATTACGTTGAGAAAAATTAGATTTTGAATAAAAAAATAAACTGTTAACTCGATAAGATTTAATAACTTATTAATTTTGGGGATATAAATGAGCGACGTGATGATCTCATTACAATGACAATTTGACAAGTTAATATTTTTAATTTCGTACTGTCTAGTATTAAATACTGGATATAAAATCCATTCTGACCCAAATAAAAAAATTGTTATTTCTATCATTAAAAATTAGTTTTCAATTGACTTCTCTTTCTATCTATAAATTATTAATTTTTAAAATACTAAGATATAAAAAATATCCTAGATTTTGAAGGTTAAGAAGAAAAGTATAATATGAACTTTTAAAAAATATTTTTAAAATATGAAAACATATGAAATATTTAATTTTTGATTTTGAAGATTACATTATTCAAATCATTCAAAATTTTTAAATAAATGCTTCCAACTTGCTTAAATTTTACAAAAACTAACATTAGTTGATTACATTCGTTTTTTATGATCTTTCTCTTTTTTGGGGGGGATTAATTCTTCTACGAAGAAATATTTAAAAACTATTTATAATGCACTAAAAAAAATATATCATTGAAAATAATTGTTTAAATGATAAAAAAAAGTTCTAAAATTATTCATAAAATATCATTATATTTGATATAATCTTAAAAAAAAAATAAAAAATAAATTCTATATTTTCATGTTTTTAAAAAATTGTTTTTAAAAAACTCATATGTTTTTCTTATTAACCTTCAATATTTGGAAAATTATTCTGTCGAATTTTATACTATTATGTAATAACGACTGTTTACATGGAAACACGGTTGAATTCTCTATTCATCCGATGAATATTAATAATCCAATCACAATCATATCAAATCACTATAGAAAATAATCACTATAAAAAATAAGTATCAAATTACAAGTTAATATAAAATAATATTTTAGGGAAAAATCATTGTCTTGAACATGAATATTATAATATACGTTTTATATATTTCATGGAGTTTTTTAATCACATTAAATGGTAATAATAGTTTCATTATTTTTTTTTTATTCAATTTCAATTTAGTGCATAAAAATATTTAATTTTTGCTTTAATTTTAAAGAAGACAGTTAAATGCAATGAAAATAGCAAAATAACATGAAAAAAATATAAGTGGAAAATACTGTGGATTAATGTTAATAACAGTTTTATTCGTACTTAACCTTCATAATATCGGAATGGTAATCTGATATTAAATGCAACTGTATCTTATATTCTTTTTATTATTAATTACTAAATGTAATATGTAATTTCATTACATAAGATAATAAATATTTTATATTATATTATCAAAAATTATATTATATTATATTAATCAAAAATTTAAAAAGGTTATATTTTTAGAATGATTTTGATGTACATACTGATTACATTATACATAAGTTTTGGGACTTTCTATCTTTATTTCTTAGTCAGATCAAGACGCCCAACTTGATGTCTCTATTTCTTTTATACAATCCAAAAAAAAAAAAATAATAATTAATTATAACAATCCCCTAAATTTTTACAATTCTGAATCAATAATGAATATGGATAATAAAGAAAATATAATAAGTAATGTAATATAATAATGTTTAATTAATTAAATCTGTAACTTTAATATTACAAAGGTTAAAAATATTTAAAGTAATTAATTAGAATATGAATTATCAATATATATTATATATAATCCATTCGAGATATCATTAAAAATATTTTTAATACTACATATTATATTTTTTAAAGTTTCAAATATTGGAGTTAAATTCAAATATTTGCAGTTAAAGATAATTAATATATAATATATAATATTTATAACATATAATATATAATAATATAATAATAATTATTTAAAATATAGGTTATCAATTATTATATATAATTACCACTTGAAATAATCATTAAAAATTATTATAAATATTTTTAACCTTGCATATATTTATTTCCAAAAGTTTTAGAAATATGTAAGATACGTTTTATCATCGATCTATGAAAAATTATTATATGCTTGAATTATTATTAAAATTCCATCTATCCACTGTAAATAAATTTCAATCACATTTTTATAGATTGATTAAACTAACCTTTCAGAAAAATTCGCAAAATACGCTTCTCTATCTTCATACTTTATCTTCATAATTTAACTTTTCGTTTTTTCTCGTTGCGAAGAAAAATTTGATTCGCAACGAACGACAAGAATAATGATAGTTTCTATACACATGAAAAAAGAGATTCGAAGAACAGACGAGAAAGGAACCGAACCGACAAAAACAGGGTAATAAATGGATGTGATGAATAATAACTTGGTTATTGAAAGAAAATTCCGGCCGATACGAGTTTTGAAACTCCGAAACATTAGCCCAGTTTCCACGAGCAACGGGGCTAAGGTATCGAAAACTCCTCTCCACCCTCCTATCTTCTTCTCTCCCTTTCGCCTTTCGTCTTCCAAGTTCTCTCGGTGTACGCTTTGGCTGCTGCTACCGATGAGCCAATGTCCCAACCTACCAACCTTCGTACTTGCCTTCAAGCCACGTCCGCATAATGGCTATTCAGATAGCGAATCGATTTATTTCCCCAGAGGGTTTCGGATACTTGGAACCTTTCTCTTTCTCTCTCTCTCTTTCTCTCTCTCTCTCTCCCTATCTCTCCCTCTCTCTCTTTCTCATCCTCCGTGAACTTGGAACAAATCCTCCTCCATTCTCGTGCTCCAAAAATTCTTTTCTATCGTAAAATGTTTTTCCGCGGAAACCGAATTCGACGCTATCTCTTTATTTCGAGCGAAAAGGAATCGCGAGATGTATATAGAAATTTTATCAAACGAAATATAAGAAAAAGGAAGAATGTAATCTCTGTCTTTTTAATGCCCATCATAGCATTATCTGGTGAAACATAGAAGGATAAAAAGAGATGCAGCTCGTATTGCCTTATAATGATACTATGTACGTTAAAAATATGGTCATAATGGATATTTTTTTGACGATTATGAAATAAAATATCGTTTTAACTTTTACGTAATTGAATTTTTGAAAAATGTAAGTTTCTCTGAAATTTTTGAAAACTGATAATAATACATTTAAACAAATTAAACAAGTCGTTTTTAATATTTATAAATTCTAATTTCTTTTTAAAAAAATTTGAGAATTATTATTTTTTTTTAACTTTTTAAAAGATTGTTATAGTAAAAATAATGAAATGAAAGTTATTACAATAATGCATTTTTAAACTTATATCCAAAATAGAATAATCATTCTTTATTAAAGAGAGAGATAAGAGATTTTAAAAAATCCCAAAGTTCTTTCTTATTTTTATTTTTTATATTATAATGCTTTTATTATTAGAATGTTCACATTGAGTTTAATAAAAATTATAAAAATTGTCAATTTTATTTTATGAAAATATTATATGAAAATATTATCTGAAGATTAATTTTTTCTATATTTATGTATTAAAACACATAAATACATGTAAGAAAATTATTGAGAATATATATTTCTAACAATTATTGAATGACATCAAGAAAATATGTATCTATGTTTTTATTAGAACTCTATCTTAATATCATTGCAATACAACACTTATTCATATAGATATTAAGAATCGGAACTCAGTATTTGAGTTGAGAGTGATAAATATTGAGATAGAAATACAAAAAAAAAAAAGAATAACACAAATACTCGTGTAAGCAGTTTCAAGAATTAGTAAGGATTACTCCGCCATTAGCTAAATAAACTTACCGACAGTGCATCGCGTATATTAGTATATCTTTTCCTACCTTTTACAGAATTATCGTAAAATTGCAAACTTGAAGGAACAGTGACAATTTTTATAATTATTTTTGTAATACATGTCCTATATAAATAAATAATATAAAAATAAAAATAGATTTTTAAACATTCTATTATAACGTTATATTTTTTTCATTTAACTAAAAATATGAAAATATATATAATAATATAAAATTACTCCTAATTCTTTTCCTTTTTTAATATATAGAATATTTGTTTTATCTAAATACAATTAAATAATTTAAAGAAAAAATGTTATAAAAAATATATTACAAAAATTATTTAATATAAGAAGATATATTATGTAGTATTAATAGTTTAATAATTTTTCTATTAGATTTTTTACTTTTATGTACATCTTAAATAATAATAATATATTATTTATTTATATTTTAAATAAAATGCAATTGCCAAGATATAAGATTAATATATTCATGAAATATTTTTGATCAAAACAAAAGTTGATATACAAAAATGTCACTTGAGGTTTATTCATTAAGT